GCAGTCTTACAGGAGCGACCAAACCAAGGCTGAGATCTGCCTCCGATGGGTACCACAGATGATGGAATAAATAGTTCCATTCCCTGTAGCACCACATCAGTGACAGAGTCAGCAACAGCGCTGGGATCATCCGGCGAGAAGCAAACCCGCCCCCATGGGTAGGATGCAAAGAAGGACCGCATTCCGTCCCAATCCGCCGACCTGTAATGCCAAACACGGCGGCAACCTGCAGAACGCAACCGCGAAGGGAGCGTGAGTGGCACCACACTCCGGATCAGACAATGGTCCGAAGAGCCGAGAGGGGCATCGACGGAAACCAGATATCCGTCCGGATGAGAGGTCAGCAGAAGGTCCAACAGGGAAGGTGTATGATCCTCCACATCTGGAATCCGCGTAGGCGAAGTAACCAGTTGTGTCAGACCATATGCCAAGGCAAAGTCATAAACAGATCTCCCCGCATGATCGGTTAGACGTGAACCGAGCCATTCGGCATGGTGGGCGTTAAAATCGCCAAGGATCACGATCTCTGCGGATGGGACCTGTTGTAGCAAGAAATCTGTAGCCATTTGGACGTGGTCGATGAGTCGGTCTGTTTCGGCATTACCGCTATGGGACCTATAGAGGCACCCGTAGACGCGCGGATGGTCGTCGCTGTCTACGCGTAGCCAAAGGATGGACAGGTCCAAACCTTCAAGACTGCCGAGGCGTCGAGAACAGATGTCCTCTCTGACATACACGCAAACTCCAGCCCGAGGCACAAAGGAATGCTCCAATTTGTACCCCGGGTAGGAGAGATACGAAATATCAGCCGGAGAGGAAACCTGCGTCTCGGTCAGAAAGAGCAAGGCCGGCTTCGCCGTCTCGAGATGGTAGTGGACGGCGTTTAGGGTAGAGTGAAGTCCCCTGATGTTGCAGAAATTCACGGATAGCGTGGCAGGGGTCGCCTTGGTGTTCTTGCTCAGTTTGCCCCTAGCAGTAATGCTTTTGAGCGGAATTTTGCCCCCCCCCCCCCCCCCAGAATACGCGGGGCAGCCTGAGCACCCACGCTCAGGATCGGAATAACATGGTCGTGGATGCTCAGCGAGGGATTCTCCAGCGGTGCTGGTACCCTCCTGGGGTAGTTCTTCGTGTAATTCCGCTACCATGTTGATGGGGGGGGGGGGGGGGAATTGGGCCTCCGGCCACCTGCACTCACCAGACGAAACGCAGAAGAAAAGCTTCTACTTCACGCCGGTATTCTGTGAGATCGTGGTACCAACCCGGCTCGAGCCGGCCCATACATGCAACAGCAAAAACTGCTGCGTGGCTCTACCACCGTTAAAGTTAAAATATTATTCAAGGGCGCTTTGCTGATACCTGTAAGGACTTCAAAAAGCCACAGATTAATCCACATGATGTTCGATATTGTGAAGAAATGAAAGCTTTTGCTTTAACTCTGAATTTCTATTCACCTAAGGCTTACGAGTTCTTAAGAAAATATATAACTTTACTATAACTTTCATGTAGTAACTATACAAAGATCTTTATCTTTATTTAACTGTAATGTTGGTTTCCTCTCTGAAGTACTGGAATATTTAAAAGAGCAAGTTAAAACACCTGAAAATATATATTTCAAAAATGTTGCTTTAATATTTGATGGAATGGCATTAAAACAAAATTTGGCATATGATCAAAAATTTGACAAAGTGGTTGGTTATGTTGATTTAAGACCAATTTCTGTAAGTGATCCAGAAAAATTAGCTTCCGAAGCCCTCGTTTTTCAAATAGTGTCGTACGGTGTACGTTTTAAGTATCCAATTGCATATTTTTGTATTGCAAATAACTTGTCTGGGGAACTGCTTTCCGAATTAATAAAAATTGCTATAATTCTGCTTGATGAAATTAGTGTCACCGTAAGATCTTTGACTTGTGGTGCTACATCATCCAATGTAAAGGCTTATGAATATTTAGGTTGCTCTCTCGAACAAAATAATTTAAGACCGTACTTTCGACATCCAAACGGGAAGAGCAATATATATTGTCTGCTTGACGCTGCACATATGTTAAAACTCGCTAGAAATGTTTTGGCTGATTTTGAAATGAAATCAAATACCGGCTATATTTCGTTTAAATATATCCGAAAATTACACGAAATACAAAGCAAGGAGGGGTTAAAATTTGTAATATTAAGCGATTTACATGTAGATTTTAAGAACAAAAAGATGAATGTTAGGCTTACTGCGCAAGTACTTAGTTCATCTATTGCTGATGCAATACATTTTTTGAGGATTAGTGATCATCCTGACTTTCTAAACATCGAAGCGACTACAGAGTTCTTACACATGATAGATAGACTTTTTGATCTCATGAATTCAAAGTCATCCTTTAGAAAAGGGTTCTAAGTATCCATTATCATAAAAAAAACAAATCTTATTGGGAACCAATATTTAATGATACTGGAATGTTTTTAAAATTGTTAACAATAAATGGTAAAGGTATTTTAAATCATCCCAGAAAAACGTTTTTACTAGGGTTTTTAATGAACATAAATAGTTTAATTCTTCTTAATGATTTGTGTACACTAGATCAAAATCCAATTAAATATTTGTTGACTTTTAAATGTTCGCAAGATAACTTGGAACTATTTTTCCTGCATTAGGGCTCGCGGTCGGGCACAAGATAACCCGAGCCCTCTCGAGTTCCGCTACATAATTAGAAAGATGTTGTTAAGACATTCTATTCAACCATCCGTCAATGCCAACTGCATAGAAAATGGCTTTGAGACTACACACGTCTTCGATTTCAATAAACAGAAAAGTTTGTTTCATTCTCGCGAAGAACCTGAATATCAACAAGACGTCGAAAATATGTTTCAAAATTTAGAAAATATTCATGCTAGTCCATACCAGGAAAATATATCATATTATATAACTGGTTATATTATAAACCAAATTCTTCCCGCATTTCTTGTGAACATTGTAATAATGCGTTAGTAGCACTTAACAATGTGTCAACAGATCATTCATATCATATGATTGTAAATAAATTTAATTCATTTACGACGTTTGTGAACCAAGGCAAACTTTATATTTCTTCCGTAGCAGCTTACAAAATTGTAAAATATTGCGACCAAGTTTTCCAACGAGCTAATTTGGTGGGCCAACTTAGAACCAATAACATTGAAAACAAATTAATTAATGTCGTGTCGCAACATTTTACACCTCTGTTGCAGGAAATGCTTAACCATCTGAACTCGGACTCAATTAATTGTAATGATTTGCATGAAACTATGATAGTTAAGAAAATAGCTAATTCATTTTTATTAATTTGCGTATACGTGCTCACTTAAAGAGTCATACAGAAAATATACTCAGTGATTTACGTGGTAAGAGACAGAACCTACACAGAGCTTTATATACATGACTAAATAGAGCTACACAGATATTTAGTCATGTATATTAGAAAAATATCAATAAACGATTTTAATATGGAAAGTGTTTTTATTAATTTTTTTTGAGGTTTTTTATATATTACCGTTCCTATTATAGTACATAATATGTTACTAGAAATCTATGAAATCCGTCATTATAATGAATTCCTAGGAATTGTAGATAATTCTTAAAATGAACAGGATGTGTGGAATATAGTATTATACACATTTCAGCTCAGAGCAGTCTGACTCGGATGGGTAAGGTCAGAAGGCTAAGGCAGAAGCTCCGCCACGCTCCTTCAGTCTTCATGATATTTTTTTTAAATAACTGTCCAGAAATAGATTTAGTCTGTCTGAACAATAAATCAGGTATATTTTGCCCAATTCATTTTTTTATAGTATAAGGGTGACAAACGAGCACACAGTCCACCTGATGGTAAGTGGTTGCTGTGGCCCATAGACATCTATCTTCGTTTGTGAATTAAAATACAGATGCGTTGTCACCCGTGAGGACTAAGATAGAATGCCTCTTTTCTATTAAGAAGGGTATCTGGTTCTGTACACTCACCGAACGAAGCACAGCAGCATTAAGCTGCTATTTTACACTAGTATTCTGTGAGAGCGTGGTCCTTTCCCCGGTCGAGCCGACCTATTCGTACTACAACTATACTATTAATATAGTTGCAGCATGGCTCTACCACGTAAAAATTTATTGATCATCCGGGGTGTTATAATAAATTTTATATTTCGTTGGTACCATTTAGGAATTGTATGCAATAACCAGAAAATACATTATCGAAATGGTAGTTATAAAGTATTCTCTGATATATTTATTTTCCACATTTTCTAAATTGGCTCGGCATTATATGGGTTGTAACGGAAATGCGTGGTCATATTTTGGATAACGGTTCTGCCCATGGAAATGAAAACCTTTTGTTCAGAAAACTAGTCAATTCCCAAACAAAATTGTACAAAAATATATAACCTATATAGGCTAGGTCTTAGTAGTAAACAGAGATGTAGATATTTATAAATAAACCACTTAATGTAATGCAACTACTTATTGCGATATCCTGGGAAAAATAAATTAAAGGTTACCTACTTAGAAAGTGAGGGTCTCCCCACAGAGAGCCAGATAGTAATTTATAGGATAAGCTTCAAGTAGGTATTCGGAGTGTGGTCTCTATCTTTATCTATAACTTCATGGTCTGCATAAGCGCCTTGAGATACCATCACCAACTGTCAGCAGTCTGCTGTCTCAAGTTGCCGTCAAAATCTCCCAAGCACAAAATCACAAATTATAAATTTGTACGTACAAGACTCCCAAGGGCTGCACAACGTGACGCATCAACATATTGTGAAGCAGTGTACTATGAAGGATAATTATACATTGTAATTTCAGGCTTAGAAGGGCTAGAACCCAGAGCCGTAAAGCCTGTTATTAAGAAAGAAAAAAGAAACAAAAGTCAAAACTTCCTGTATAGGACTGACAGTTATTATACTCTGGTCAAAACGAATATAGTCGAAAAATATTAAAATCTACAAATAACATATACAAACACAAACAATACTATTTGTTGTTACACTTAAAATGTCGTCCGAAAAACGTCCAACAACTTCTGAAAATTCCGAGGAAGCAGATGGTGAAGATTGGATAGGACCAATGCCGTCTGAAGCTGCAAAACCTAAACCTAAGAAACGAAAAGGTAGTTTAGTTGCAGAATAATTATAGTTTAGAATAATTTACTTTGTACTAAATCCAGGTGTTGAAATCGATTTAAACGTTTTAATTTCCAGTTTTAGAGTTTGAGTCTTTATACCTTGAAAATTTACCATCATCGGAAACGTATGAACGGAGTTATATGCACAGAGATGTAGTTACACATGTAGTTGTGACCAAGACCGACTTTATTGTTACTGCTAGCCAAGATGGCCATCTGAAGTTTTGGAAGAAACAGGCGAGTAAGATTTATTTTATTTATTAATTTTTTTTAAATTAATTCACCTAAATATATTTAGAATTTCTTAAAGAATATCAATCATAAAATTTAAGAGCAACCGTAATTTGTTATATTTCTACTCTACTTCTTATCTTGTATATTTCTTTTTTTAATTATTCAAAGTATGTAACACAATATATCTTTGATGTAGATGTCTGTGGGCCACAGCAACCACTTATCATCAGGTGGACTGTGTGCTTGTTTGTCACCCTATCCTATAAAAAAAAGGTACAACTTTCCATTGACGTCAGTGGAGTTTGGTGTTGATACATATTTTTACAAAAAGATTACATTTTTATAAGCACACACACAAAGTTTCAATATGCGGAAACACATAATTATTGAGAAAAAAATATTGTAAATCAAATAATTTTGCAATATTTAGTCAATTCCTACCGTGAAACTGATGCCATTTTTATTATTATTGTCAGTAGGGATGTCGATTCTTTCCGAAAAAGATCTATTTTTTAAATATATTCGAATTGTAAGCTGATGTATCGATTCCCAAAAAATCGATTTCTAAAATATCGATATTTTTTTCATGTTTGCATTTATAATGTAAATATAAATCCATTTTATGAGAAAAAAATCCCCTTCATCATAAAAAAATAAGGGGACTGATTCATAAGGATTTCTGTATCTATTTTGAGACTGCTACGTCTCCGGCGCTGCGGGAAGAGCAACCTCTACGCCTTAGCGTAACAAATCGCTTATTTGTTTTGTTACAGCAGGCGGAGGCTGCTCCCCCTACGCGCCTCCGGTTCTATAAAACCACTCTAGGGGTAGGACAGACTCGTACCAGGTGGAGTCGGGATCAATCAATTCGGTCCTTTGACATAAGTTGAACCTAACCTATTTTATTTGTTATCTGCCCTAATAGGTACTGTTAAATAAAACAAATTTCAATAAGAGATCATTTATCATGGTATCTTTCTTGTTTTTCATAAAATGGGTTTATATTTACGTTATAAATAGAAACATTTAAAAAATATAGATATTTTAGAAATCGATTTTTTGTGAACCGATACATCAGCTTACGATTTGAATCGATTTAAAAATCGACCTTTTTCGGAAAGAATCGACATCCCTATTGACGTCGACAATGACATTACAAAATGGCGCCAGTTTTATGGTAGGATTAGACATAAACATTGCAAGAATAATTGATAAGAGGGTAGGGTCAAGAGTACTCGAATACCTAGACGTGCATGCATGAAGAAGATAATGAATCTGAAAGAAGCGAAGAAGCGGTTTGTAAGGATTGTGACACTTGGCGATCTGTTCTCTCTGGCTACCCCGTCAGGAATTGTGTGTGAAGATAAAAGAAAAAAAAAAGAATAATTGATTTTCAATAATTCTTTTCTCAAAAATTACACGTTTCCACATGTTGAAACTTTGTGTGTGTGCTTATAATAGTGTAACTTTTCTGTAAAAATACGTATCAACACCAAACTCGACTGACGTCAATGGAAAGCTAAGCCAAAATATAGATATTTTAGAAATCGATTTTTTGGGAATCGATACATCAGCTTACAATTCGAATCTATTTAAAAAAATCGATCTTTTTCGGAAAGAATTGACATCCCTACTGACAATAACAATAAAGAATGGCGTCAGTTTTATTGTAGGATTAGACATAAACAATGCAAGAATAATTGATTTTCAATAACTTTTTTCTCAAAAATTACGCGTTTCCGCATGTTGTAACTGTGTGTGTGTGCTTATAATAGTGTAACTTTTCTGTAAAATACGTATCAACCCCCAACTCGACGGGAGTCAATGGAAAGCTAAGCCATTTTATTTATGAACAATGTCTTGCAATCGTCGTTTCTCTGGCGCTCACTTGACCGTCATACAAATAATGCACTATCTTAATTGTTAATAATTTTTTATTTTTGGATAAGAACATAGTAATGACTAAATTAAAACTTCATTTAAAAGAATATTATCTTTCGCCTGAGCTACTATACTCTTTGGCTTGACCATAGGTTTGACTGAGTTGGTAGTGGTTAATTTCGCGGCTTGAATGGTTAAAGTACATATAAGATTATAAAAGCTAACATTTTGTATTACAGGAGGAAGGAATTGAGTTTGTGAAACACTTCCGCTGTCACTTGGCTCCAATTAGTCATGTTGCTACAAATAGCACTGGCACACTTCTTTGTACCACCTCCCCAGAAAAGACTGTTAAAGTATTTGATGTGGTCAATTTTGGTGAGAAATTATATGTATAACACTTAAACTTAATTCTTGATTTTAATATTGATAAAATTGTGAAAAATCTACACTTCAATTTATAACGTCAAAATTACTGTGCATAATTTTAAATCATCATGATATGATCACAGCATTTTTAACATCATTAGTCCCTTGATAAACTGCTTGTCCAGCCAGTTTGCATGTTAGAATAAAATATTTTTAACAAGTATCCTTAGCATTTCTGTAAGCTGGTTTTTACACTTGCAGTGTAAATAAAGTTATATCTATAAGCTTGTTAGTCACATGAATAATAAGACAATTACAAATACATTACCAATTTACCATGGTAGAGCCATGCTGCAGCTAAATTATGATTGTGGCACGAATGGGTCGGCTCGACCTGGGTGGGACCAAGCTGTTACGAATACCAGTATAGCAGGGTAAGGTTGCTGTGTTTTGTATGGTAAGAGTAGAGAACCGGAGATCCTTTTTATTCGAAACAAGGCATTCCATCTTAGTCCTCAAGGGTGATGTAGATGTCTATGGGCTACAGCGTCCATTTGCCATCAGACTGGACTATGTGCTCGTTTGCTACCCTTATATTCTATAAAAGAAACTTATTTGAATCAGGGTTAATTAAAGAAACTTGATCTGGGGTTGTTTTGCCCCTGAGGATTAAGATACTTTTTTAAAACAGTAACTACACCCTGTTAACCCATGTTCTTGAAGCTTATTTTCATTTATTTAATAACTTAAAAAGTAATTATTTTAATTTTTTAGAATGTTAATGAAATTATTAACTGAATGATTAAAGGAATAAATTCAAAAATTTCAATTTTATGTATATCTGTATATCCATTTATAATTACAGTAAAAAAATAATATAAATTTTATAATGGAAACATAATAATTTATTGCCATTTAACTATCAGTTATAATTTGATATTTGTTTGACTGTTCAGTCAAATTAAGTTTTGTTTCAACAAATTCACTTTAAGCTAAAAGTTAATTAACACTCAAAACAGTTATTCTTTTAAATTACAGTAATTTCAATTAAATGGCAAGTATCTATAAGTATGAATAATTTTTTATTGTTCTTTAATATTCTTATAAAAATAATTTCAGATATGATCAATATGATTTCCATAGAATTTGAACCATACTGTGCGGAATGGGTGCACTCTGCAGGTGATCCTATTTCAGCATTAGCTATGTAAGTATTTATATATATATTAATAACTGGAACAAGCAACTACAGGAAGATGAACTTACTTTATGAAAACATTATTAGATGATTCAAACAGCTTAATTAAATATGAATATGGAGACGTTTTAAAAGCATCTAAAAAAGGTGTTTTATATAATCTTTCCAAGTAATTATTGCAGAATGCATTACTAGCTTTTTTCTGCATATTTACTTGTATGAATTTTGCTTTATCAATGTCCCATACCGAAATTTAAGATCACCTCTGTCTGTCAGTATGTCTGATTGTCCTAAACATTCTTCTCGGAGACTTGAAAATAATTATGTTCTCTCCATACATTTTCTACAGTGTAAATATAAAATTTACTAATCAGCTGCATCATTTTCTTTTCTTTTTGGCACTAAACAAACATAATATTATATTGTGAATATGAGATATTTATGGCTCAAAATATTGGATCCTAGCATAGCAATGGTACATCCAATATGTACCATCTTGACAGAACAAATACATTGTGTAAATATAACATCAAACGGTCCAGTCTTCAGAAGTTTTGCAATCACTAACGCACACTTTTAAACATTAGGAACAAACATAAGATTGTAATACAAGTTACCAGACTCCACAGAATTAGTAATTCATTTATCGGGCAATGTATACGCTTTTACAATAAAATCTCAGAAAATGTACAAAAATGGGTTATTATAATATCAAAGAATACATAAGTGAATAAAACCCCTGGGAATGAGGTGATCGCCACCATGCTGGTTCTATTAAAACTCATTTAAAATTTGTACAAACAAAAAAAAATTATTGTAAAGTAAAATATGTTTTTTTTTTTTTAAAAAAGGCCTGCTGGGTTTCTTGCTGGTTCATTGCAGGACAGAGGTATTTTTCGAACCAGGGATAAATAAAAAAATGACTTTCAATCAAGTATTATTGAATAAATGTTATCCTATTCTATTCTACACAAAAAACATGTTTTTTGTATGTATATTATGGAAATTATGCTGGAGAAGCTAGTTATGCAGTGTGGAAATAGCCTTAATACCTGTTGATCTGAAATTGTCCAGACTAAGCTTTTGATATTAGATTACTCGTAAACATGATAATTGCAAGTAGCCATAATTTTACAATAACATTTTGACCACAAATTGTGCAGATTAAGCTTTTGATATTGGATTAATGAAAACATGGTATGAAGTGTAATATTACAGAAGATGCCAACTAAACTGTATAGTTATAGCTGGTCAAACCAAGTCAAGACAAGGCTACTTTCAGTCAACAGACTTGTTTTGACCATCTAATAAAAGCCCATGCATTTGGAATAAGATTCATTATAAAACTCATCATAGTCATATAATCACTTAATTAAGGAAGTCAGTATTGCACTGCATTAATTTTAATTTATTATTGTACTGTAATAGTAATAAATGTCATCGAGACATATTTGTAGTTCTTAAAAAGCTTCAGCACCACTCCCGAAACTTAACTAGCTAGTGAAGATATAAATAAAAACCTTATTTTTTTTTTACAAACCATATTTTATAGATTTTTACATTATATTGGCTGTTGTATAAAAACTAATCTAAGTAAATTAATTAGTTTAGGTTGCATGAGGCCTGATGTTTTGGATCAGGTTTCGAGAGATATTTCATTATAAAGGAGTCAATCGGGCCAGGCTTTTAGAGTTGACACAAAATTGTTCTGATTTAAATTGTGTTTCTTTTGACATAAAATCACAGAACAGGTTGAGTTAGAATTGAGTAGTTTACACCATCATTAAAAAAATAACATTATTATTTAGTTGGTTAATTTTTATTTTTTAGTTAAATTAGACTTTTAGTAGGTATTTAAAAATGCACAAATAAATATTAAATATATTTAAATTGAGTAGTGTCAATACTCTACTACAGATGAACCATTTATCATATCTTCTCTAATTTTCTCAAATGTTGTTTACTCTATGATCTCTCCTTGACATTCCTCGTCTTTAAATGTTAATATTTTTAATATCATATTATGTTTTTCAGATCAGAAAAATCTTCAAACAAAATCCACGTGTTTGATGGTACACAAAGTTCAGGCACCCCCTTGCATACATTTGAAACACTTCATCAAAGTGTGGTGGCAACTATAGTGTATAACCCAGTTTTTGAAGTAGCAGTCTCTGTTGACAAGGCTGGCATCGTAGAGTACTGGACGGGACCAAAACACGAGTTCCAGTTTCCGAGAAATGTGAATTTCCAGTCCAAATTGGAGACAGACCTGTTTGACTTTGTTAAGAATAAGACATATCCTACAGCATTAGCATTTTCACCAGATGGCAAGAAGATGGCTTCAATCAGCTTAGACAGGAAGGTACCCTCATAATATCTAGATATAACAACAGACTTGGTCAAAGTTCTGAAACGGGAATGACATGGACAAAGTGGACTAACTTGATTTTTTTTAATTCTCAGACAAGGTCTTTCTCGGGGTTATTTCCTTGACTAGATATAGATTACTTGATTGCATTTAATTAAAAGTTCTTTTGTGCGTTCACATTGCATATTATATATATATATCTAAATCAGCACTTAAAATTCAACTTCTCCTGTTTCTTTATGGTGCAGTAAAAGTCCACTGCTGGATTTGGGCCTGTTTCTTTGTAGGGAGGCTTTGCTTTATATTTTGCTTTATACACTTGGCTGGTGGATTTATCACAGCATTTGAGGCCACTGTCCTTTGCTTGTGATTTTATACGTCTGACGTAATGCTTACACCGCCATATTTTTTTCGCGGTTTTTCTGGTATTACCCGTAGTCGTTTCTTACGACACAGTCGGGACGAAATGGGCGATGGATTTTTTTTTATAGAATAAAGTTGACAAATGAGCACACAGTCCACCTGATGGTAAGTGAATGCTGTGGTCCATAGACATCAACATTTATATTCAATTGAGAATCAAAATGCACATGCGTTGTCACCCCTGAGGTAAGAGTTACAGTACAGTAAAAAGCGTCTCCGGTTCTCGAAACACCATACGAATCACAGCATCATTAAGCTGCTATTTTACGCTGGTATTCTGTGAGACTGTGGTACCACACTGGTCGAGCTGACCCATTCATGCTACAACCGCCGACAAACTGTTACGCAGTGGTGGGTGTGAAAAATGTACTTAAGGTTTGTTTGGTCCAGAATAAATGATTTATTATTATTTATTATATTATTATTACCATAATATTGTTCTTCCATGTATAAAGCAGTAAAGCTTTTACGCCGCGACCTCGTCACGGCGAATTGAATTTATACAATTATAATGGTTCTTGCTGTGTAGTGCAAGGCTACCAATATCCCATATAGTCTCATTGGTATCATAAGAACCGATAGAGGGGAAAACCAGGAGATAATAGGTAGAAGCGTCATTCTAATAACGACTAGAAAATAAAAAACTGCGGTTGCCAACCCGCCTGCCAAGCATGGCAACTATGGCAAGTGCCTTATTATCAGGAATTTTTTTTGAACTAAAATTCAAATTTCTTAGAAGTTATATATTTTTAAGACATTGAGATGTTAAAACTGTGATTGCAGGTGCGTGTGTTCCACTTCCTGTCCGGCAAGCTACACAAGGTTTTGGACGAGAGCCTGCAAAGGTTCCAGGACTTGCAACATCAAGTACAGCAGTTACCCAATATGGAGTTTGGTCGAAGGTACTCTTCACTAATATCACATAGAGAGGTGTTTCAAGGTTTATTGGTGACGTTGATTTGGTAGAAATCAATATTGTCAGCTTGGAACGCAAGTGCAGGAAGTCAACATCTCAGTTTTCTATAGGATGCATTTCGGAGAGTGTGCATGTTACATATATTAATTCATCCCTTCCCTTTCCACTCTCGGACTACCAGATGGCTGGAGGGTCTTCACCCCTTTTTTGTCGATATTCTACGCCTTCGAATCAAGCGGTTTGACAGCTTACCCATGCATTCCCTCTGATTACTTGATTACAATCTGGGTGTCTTCAAAGCAAGAGTGGAATAGGCTACCTAACACTAAGACAGAGCGATTTATTATCTAGGCTTTCATTACTACTTACTACCAGGTGGGTAGTAAGTAGTAATGAAAGCCTAGATAATAAAGCACTCAAGCACTGGCTTATATTGAGTATTTTTTTTATCACAAACTGTCATTGTCATCCATCCAGGCAAGTGAAAAAAATATATCGATATTTTTAAACAGTATAGAATAGTACCGATAAACATATATCGCGTGATAAATATCGATATATCGTCATGTTTTGCATGATGTAGTAGGATGAGAGTAAAAATTTTATTACTAGCCGTTTTTACCACGAAAAAGAAAACAACGGCACATGAATTCTTTTGTAGTTTAATTTATATTGTCTACTAGCTGTTCCCAGCAACTTCGCCCGCGTGGAATTTATTACGATTAAATTTTATGAGTTTTAATTTTTTTTGCGCGGAACCGTAATTCTTTTATTAAAATAAAAAATCGGTCTAGGTGTTAATTGACACATTGGATAATTAATTGGTGTAAACGAATTAATTATCCAATGTATCAAGGATAAGCTAGTAGCGGAATACAACAAGTGCACCGTGACACGCCAGAGTTAAGACTACCCAAACGGCGGTCACTCGATTTTTTTTATGATAACGCACGCTTGGCACTTACTGTTTAGAAAGAGTTAATAATGGATTTCTGCAAAGTAATGGCTGATTCTATTAATATATAAACATGTTTATAAAATTGTAATCAACAATTTTATACGGCGGGACGAATACTGTGAAATTTAAAGCAACCGCTGAGCGCCTTAGTTAGCACGGACTCTTTTTGTTGGCTGTTTTTGGAGTCGGAGAAATAAATGAATTATAAATTATAAGAGCTATCGATTGATTTTCTCATTTACACTATTATCCACCAGAATGGCGACAGAGCGCGAGCTGGAGAAGTCTGAATCCATTCACCTCGCCAACGTAGTGTTCGATGCGAGCGGCCATTTCGTGTGCTATGCCACCATGTTGGGCGTGAAAGTGGTCAACCTGGTCACAAACAGGTGCGTGGCCATGCTCGGAAAACCTGAGAATTTGAGGCCGTTGCACCTCGCGCTGTTTCAGGTATGCTTTACTCATAAACTGCGTTAGAGAGGAACGATTGATCGACCAGTCTTAACTGAGACTAGCCATCTGCACTGGACAGGATTGTGTGTGTATGCGCAAGCACAGGTGCATTCTATTTTCCGTCACTGCCATAGTTCGATGGCACGGTAGCCGACAGTTTTAGGTGCTTTCCGGGGCACGGAGTTGAAACACCGCCAATTTCCCGACTCCGGACTGCTACTGAGAAATTCTTGACAGAAAAACTGAATAACTGATTCCTAATCGAGGATAGATGAAGATGTCTGTGGCGGCGCTGTCGTCGCGCCACAAGCGAAACACATCGAAGCATAAATCGCGCTATCAAAGTTCCGAAATTAAAGCAGCATATATAGAATAGCTCCGAACTACCAATCGGAGCGTTGGCCGCTCCCCGGGCAGAACACCTTGCCCGGCGGGAGATCTCCCCTTTTCCTTCCACCCGCCACAGTGGATAAAATTAATGTATAAATGCATATACATAATATTTTATATAAATATTATAGATATAAAATTAATACTGTTTAATATTAATAAATAAATATAATAGTATGATGCTAAAAATTATAAATGTTATAAATATATAATTTTATAAATGTAGGAGAATAGCCTACATCACTCCCCCCCAGAGACCATCCTATGGGCGATAATAGTCTGGAAACCGAACTCGGCGTCCAGAGCGTGTTACGCGTTGTGTTTCTATGTGTGGTGTTGGTGTGGGAATGATTGGGTTATGTGGTGTGTGTAGAGTGTATTTGTCTGTGAGTATGTAGGCCGGTTTGAGTCGGTCTATCGATACAGTGACTTCTTTACCCTTGACCAGAAGCTTAAACACTTTGTTACCGCGTGTGAGGACTTTATGTGGACCGGTGTAAGCAGGTTGTAAAGAACTTCGCAAAGCACCTTCGCGAAGAAAAACATAGTCGCAAGAATTTAGATCTTTAAAAACAAATGTCTTCTCGGTGTTGTGCCGAGTTGTTGGTACCGGTTGCAAAGTCTTGGCGATATTACGGAGTCGTGCAGTGAACTCAGTGATGTCCACAGGGCCATCTGTACTAGGTTCAAAGAATTCTCCAGGTAATCGAAGAGGCTCGCCGTATACGAGTTCTGCGGAAGACGTTTGCAGATCAGCCTTAAAAGCACTGCGTATGCCAAGTAGGACCCATGACTGATTCAGTCCAACTACTTGAAACGCGAAATATTGATCGCAGCATCAACTTACCATCAGGTGGACTGTGTGCGCGTTTGTCACCCTTATTCTCTAAATACAGGGTTATTTTTCAAAGAGTATCCAAAATTCTATATTTAAGTTCAATTAAATAAATAATGATATACCGTTATTGCAGTTCTTGAAAATACGAGTAAATAAGGCTTTTACTTTTATTTGAAGTTAACCCAAATCGAATGTGATTTATAGGCAACATCTACGCGTACGCGCGCTCCTCTTCGTGCGATTCAATTCACAACGTCTTTGTCGACCGGGCGACCATGTGTGTGCGTGCGTAGTAAAATATTAGGCGTTAGATATTTATGAATGACAATCATTAACTGATTTTCATTCATAAATATCTAACGCCTAATAATACATTACCACGCATTATTATACACGCATAAAACATAAAAAAGACAATGGTTGAAATTTTTAAATTAATTTATCTTGACCCATTCGCCTGTATTACTTATTCTGAACCTTCTCTGCAAATTTGGGCATTTATTGCTAAATAACTCTGGTTGAAAAACCTAATCATGCACACCTCTTTTTTATTTCTTTCCTTAACAACCCGTCAAATTCCACTGTCGGACGCATATATTTAAATCTTAAACGATGTTGATTTCTGCTTTGAAATATATGTAGTGCTCTGTCGTTTTTCTTTGTTGGTTTGAACTTCAGCTACAGTTACACTTACCATCAGTTGAAGTAGTAGTCCAACATTGGCTTATAGGAAAAAAGTAAAAACCAATTGCCAAACGTTCTCAACGAGGGCATCCAAGACTATTTCTGCCACCAGGACGGCGTCACTTTGGTATGAGCCTATACTATTTGACAGGTTGCATAGCGGGGAACTTAATTTGTTAGAAAAGTGTAGAGATTAATGTTTCTTTCTGAAATATTACTATTATTTTATTTTAATTAGATTAGAAATGGATAAACCAAACCGGCTATTCTTAAAAGTAGAATAATTAAAGAAAAGTTAAATATGTATAAAAAAATAAATAATACAGCACTGAGGCATTATTTTGTATATGGACACAAGAAACCGAAAAACTTTTAATCAAAACGCAACCTTTTAATGATGACGACACTGTGACCATCTGGGTGACAAATGTGTTCAGCTCAATTCCAACTAGCGACATCTGGTGAGCGTTAGAATAACCCTCATTTGGCCTTAGGCTTATTAGTATTGTTACGACAGCCACTTGCGTGTTGCCAATTACATATCGTTGCACGAGAATATTCCCGAAGATAAGGTCAATATCCTCCGTCATCTCAATAAAATGTAATCAACACTCAAACTAATTGATGCAAGCAAAACGCAATCTTATGTCTAAGTGCAATTTTCCTTTGGGCATGATATTAATATGAAGTGTTCTAGTATGTTCTATATTTCCCGTAAAACTATATAGTATAATTGGAATGGATAAACATAATTTGCTTCTATTGCAGGGCCGGACAAATCAATCAAAAGTAGCAACAACCTTAGAGATGGAAGGTTCTGAGAACCCTACCTTGCTCAATGTGAAGACTGACCCCACGCTGTTCTGCAGTGCTTACAAGAAGAATCGCTTCTACATGTTCTCGCGACGAAGTCCAGACGACGTGAAGAGCCCCGACGCCGACCGGGATATCTTTAACGAGAAGCCGTCAAAAGAAGATATTATCTCTGCTACTGAGGGCCAAGGTTATCTTCTTATTTTAATTATGAGCAGCTGCGTTTTCATAGCTCTTTTTCTCGGAAACTTGCGAGCATTCTCATAACAACCCACCGTTCACAAAAGGTTTATCTTAATCGGAATAATGATCTAGGAACCGTTAGTTCGGGGCTTATGAAATTCTTTATGAACTACAAGAGATACTCGAACGCAATGGATGTTAGGTCTCGATTGCCTGTGGTACGAATAATGGGAGCCTTTACTGTCTTCATAAATTGTGTCCGCGTACTAGGTTATAAAAAGTGGTTTTAACTACCAAGGAATATTTCTGAGGTACTATATAAGGGAGTAACAGAACACATAAAACACGAACGGACATACATTCATTTTATATAGCAATATTTATATAACAGATTTTTATGACTTTACTTCTAGATTTTTTATCCCCCCTCCCCCAAAAGACTGCATCTCTGGCCTTTTGAACATGGTTACTGGTGTCCATGAAGCCACTTACCATTACGACTTTTAGCTAATTTTTAACTGGTCAGTTTGATGCCACTTTACTATTTACTAATTTTCTTACACCTATAAATTTTGCTTATTCTGTGTTACTTGACACTGGTAAAAATACAACTGTACGGGTGCAATAGACTAATTTCTTACGTTTACGCGAACTACATATTTAAATGCACGCATGGTCACTGGGATCTCCCACTTACCATGGGACCTTTAAAGTACTCGTAACATCGGGAATGTAAAATAAATTCAACATTGGAACGTCGAACACCTTAGTCTCTCTGGTGACCGTGGGTGCTGTGAAGTAGTCGTAAATCCGTAGAAACTAGTTTCATTTAAATAGTATATTGCATTACGAGTGCGGAAAGCCTGTCATTGCAAAGAGTTCCGACGAATGTCTCCCCGAGCCGAGGCGCAGCCGAAGGTGAGGGTTGACGGTCGGAACAAGTTGCAATGACGGTTCCGCACGTGTACTGAACAACTATTTTTAATATAGTTGCGATAAAATGAAGCAATTTAATAAAATAATAAAAACAATAAACTCAAGTAACTAATCATTTATTTCTTATAAAAGTTATAATTCACATATACGAGGGCGGCACTGAAAATTTCGGGAATCAAGGAAGTGACACAACATTACTATTTAAAAATGTATTTATTGCTTTTCGAAGTATTCTCCGCGAAATTTGACACATTTTTCCATACGATGGAACGGATCATTGAAGCAACCATTCCATTCGGAAGTTGGGGTCTCCAAAATGGCCGTTTTGTAGGCGTCCACAGCTCCTTCAGGTGATGAAAATCTCTGTCCACGCAATTTTTTCTTTATTTTAGGGAAAGTATAGAAATCATTAGGGCTTAGGTCGGGGCTGTACGGTGGATGGTCAAATAATTCTATGTTTTCTTGCTCTAAAAACTCTTTTGTTCTGTGTGCGGTGTGAGAACTCGCATTGTCGTGATGGAGGATGATGCGGCGGTTGCAGTTCTCTTTACAGAGATCAGAAACGACCTGTGGCAAACAAATGCTAGCATACTATTCTGCATGAACCGTTCTTTGTACCTCAAGAGGAATAGTCGTAACATGGCCGGTTTTGAAGACAAACGTGGCCACCAATTTTTTTTTTGCAACACTCCGTGAACGAACAATTTTTGTTGGCTTTAACTCATTTTCGAACACCCAAACTCGTGACTGGTTTTTTGTTTCGGGTTCGTACGCGTATATCCAGGATTTTTCACCTGATACGATGTTGTATACAGCATTTAAGGATCCTGCGTGGAATCTTTCGAGAGTTCTGACGCACCAAGTAACTCGAGCCGCTTTTTGCTCTTCACAGAGCGAATGCGGTATCCATCGGGAAAACAACTTTTTTACACCTAATTGTTCATGCAAGATTATTTGTATTTGACTCATGCCAATGTCTAAAGTTGCCTGAATTTCGCGGTATGTCACATGTCGATCTTCCTCAATCAGCTTACGCACAGCATCAACGTTTTCTTGGGTGACTGCAGTTTTTCGACGACCTTAACGGGGATCATCACTGAGCTTGACACGTCCACGTTGAAATTCAGCAAACCAGCGATAAATTGTGGTTTTGGATGGGGCTTGCAGAAAATGCAGAAATCATCCGGTCAACACACTGTTTTTGTGTTAAACCACTTCGAAAATCATAATAAATCATCGCTCTTGAATTTTCTCGACTCAATTCCATTTTCTCAACGACTAAACAAGTTTGACAAAACCTTGTGACAAGACCGAGAATCTTTTTTTAAATAAATAAATGGTATTCGATTTTTACAACCAAGGACTTTTCAATTAAAAAGATTTTAATATGACAGGAACAGTGGAAATATTCCATTCCCGATACTTTTAGTGCAGCCCTCGTACATTTAAATTAGTACAGTTTTTTATACTAACTGGGGAAGTTTTAGGTTACATATTTACTGTTTGAGACAAACTATTATTAATTTCTTATGATTGTTCATGTATATTTATGAAAGGTGTTATACAATGGCGTTTTGCTAGTTGATGGAATTGGATCTGATGAATTATCATTATCAACGAAGGTAGATGGACGAACATTTTCTTCAGTATTGTCATGACGGACTGGACTTTAAATTAATGGATTGTGTGATTTTTTTCCCAGTTTCTAGTTTGTTGTTTAATGAATATAGCCTTCTGCAACTTTGTCTGACTTCTAACCTCCTAGTCGCTTTAAGGAAGTCAAATTGGCTCCTGAATCTGCCAATAATGTAGCAGAGGTCCTGCTGAAGCTGTGCCCAGTATAATACTCAGCATCCGGCAGACCAAGAAACATAGCTATTTCTTTTGGCATATTACCAAATTTGTTTATCCCGATTGCTTGAGCTGTACACTTCCCTTTTTGATAATTTTGGAAAAAACGGTCAGTTTTTGCTTTTTGGGACCGCTGATTCATATATTTTTGCACTATTATAAGAATATCTCCTTCAACAACAAAGCTTCTCGGTATCTTATTTTTTGTATTCGGAATCTTGATTAGTAGCATTTTTCCATGAGCCTCAATATCTTTTAAAGTAATATTGGCTAACTCCTTTCTGCGGCAAGCTCCAACTACGCCAAAAATCAGCGCAACCTACAAAAAAAGGGATTTGATTAATATTTTTTTAAATAATATATTGACTGTATTTTACGATTTCGTAATAAGAATACTAAAGAAAAATATAAGTATTTATTATTAAATTACCTTTGTGGCTAAATAACGATCATCGGGAGCTTCGTTCAAAAACCTTTCCACTTCATTCGATGTAAATACTTTCGACTTTTTAGTTGGAAAACCGTCTGATTGTCATTTTAAGAAAGCATTTAGCTTTGGGTATTCACTTATATCCACGTTGTTCATTATTTTCAGCATACTTTTTATCACCGAAAACCACGACCATAATGTAGAAGGTTTTAATTTTGCTGAGAGTTCGGAGAAGTATGCCAACATAACATTTTCTGAATAACTATTTGCTTTTTTCTCTACTCCCCACGCAATAAATTCGTCGTGTGTAGATATCTAGCGACTATTTGACTTTTCCGGTAAAATGGTCTCCGAAGCATTTTGTGCAATTATACTGAGTTCCGGTGGTGTTAATTCAAATAAAATATCGTCGAAATTACTCATTTTGTGCAAGAAACTACTAAACTCACAAACAACATTTTTTGGAAAATGGCGCCAACCGTAAAAGAATATAAGCAGAGATTTTTTTTGTTTTCTTCACCCATTCTGGGTAGGCAAAGGGAACAATACTCATACAGCCACATCTTCAGTAGAATTTTTTTATTGATATTAAATGAAACTGAAATTTAATGAGATGAAATGAAATGAAACCTAATCAAATCATTAAATCTGATATTAAAACAAATTAGTAGCTTCTTTTTAGAAATATTTGCATGAATCATAAAAACTTCAATGAATTTTTTTTTAGTAAAAACTTTGTGGTTGGTTTTTTCTTTTTAATAGACACAGTTGGAAAAGAGAACGCACGAGTTCGGAAAAGGTAAAGAAAAAGCTCGAGTATGTAATAGCCAACATTCCGAACGCTATACGTCTCTGCAATACTTCACTTTTTGAGCAACTGTATTAAAAAATACATTTATTGTCTGTGCAGGCGTGCAGCGCATCTACGAGCAGGCGGTGCTGCACACGTCTCTAGGCGACGTGCACATCCGGCTGTTCGGTGCCGACGTGCCGCGCGCCGCCGAGAACTTCTGCGCGCTCGCACGCAGCGGCTACTACAACGGACACGTGTTCCACCGCGTCATACGCGGCTTCATGGTGCAGACCGGCGACCCCACCGGTCAGTCACTACACACTACACACTACACACACAACTTACACCACAATACAATAGCAGCGGCTACTACAACGGACACGTGTTCCACCGCGTCATACGCGGCTTCATGGTGCAGACCGGCGACCCCACCGGTCAGTCACTACACACTACACACTACACACACAACTTACACCACAATACAATAGCAGCGGCTACTACAACGGACACGTGTTCCACCGCGTCATACGCGGCTTCATGGTGCAGACCGGCGACCCCACCGGTCAGTCACTACACACTACACACTACACACACAACTTACACCACAATACAATAGCAGCGGCTACTACAACGGACACGTGTTCCACCGCGTCATACGCGGCTTCATGGTGCAGACCGGCGACCCCACCGGTCAGTCACTACACACTACACACTACACACACAACTTACACCACAATACAATAGCAGCGGCTACTACAACGGACACGTGTTCCACCGCGTCATACGCGGCTTCATGGTGCATGCGAAAATAATTCAACCCACAAAAACATTAAGTTATTTAGATTTTTCTGACGTGAAAACGTCTTAAATTTGCTTCTATTGTGAGACCCAATTAAGAATAATGATGATAACAAAATCGGTGGATACAGTTTGGTGTTGCAGCCACATATCTATCATCGACATCAAAATGTAATTACACCAGAAGGATCAAATAATACGGTACGTTTAGTGAGAAATGTGATGCGTCGCGCGCGGCAAAAAGGAAAGCGCCGCCAATTTGTACACAGAAACACCCCGATTTTTTGTGAAAGTTCACCCCTATTTTAGAATTTTCTACTGCATCGTGGAGGCAGTTTACATATATAAATTTCACAAGAATACCCGAAACAATTATTTTTGTATACCATACAAATACTTGTTCTGTACGGGATTTGAACCCGTGGTCCTTAGCGCTGCAACGCATTGCTAAGCCTTTTTAAAAAAAAACATATTTTTACTGTGGCAGAAGCCCCATTATATCATGTTATGTATATCATTTTAACTTTTAAAATCGCCGGTCGAGGCGATTAGCCTCAACGGAGCCTAGCCATCTGCGCAGGACAGGATTATAGTGCCGGAGTGTATTCGCCAACACAGTTTTACTCTTTACTCCCTCACTTTCATACCTACACTACATGCATTTGTTTTGTCCTGTTTCACCAATCACTGAATGCTCATTAGTAATCAATCACAATCGCTCCGTTGAGACCTTTTTTACCTTAGGCATTCTATTTTAGTCTGTACTGACCGCGCATCTGAATTACGATTAAGGAAGGATGTAGTGTTAATTAATAGCACTGTCAGTATGTATTCTTTTTAATCAAATAAATCAATATAAAAACAGACTTGGATGTGTTTTGGTCGCAGGCACCGGAACGGGTGGGGAGAGCATATGGGGGGGCGAGTTCGCGGACGAGTTCCGGCCGCACCTGAAGCACGACCGGCCCTACACCGTGAGCATGGCCAACGCCGGCCCCAACACCAACGGCAGCCAGTTCTTCATCACGCTGGCGCCAACGGTCAGTGCAAAGCTCGCTAATCACTTGCTTTTGACTATACTAATCACATTAACTATTGACCTCTATCACTTGTTCATGCCTACTAACAATTTAAATCGTAGTACTGACTACCATTACTGGCCGACGATCACTTTCTTACAGCTTCTACTACTAGTTATTGTGGGATGTGGCCCTTTGGGTAAATTAACATCTCGTAGCGATGGTTGAAACAAGACTGCTTTATTAAAAATATTACAGTTCTTATATACTTTTTTTATATTATTTTAAGCCAGCGTTTAACTACAATCCCACCTGATGATAAGTGGTGATGTAGCCTAAGATGGTGAAGCGCACTGACTTAACAAAAGCCTATTAACTCTTGCCTTGAAGACACCTACACTGTAATCGGATGGAAAGACAGATGCTGGCAACTTGTTCCACTCCTTTGCTGTACGCGTGATGAACGACGCAGCTAACCGTTTGGTTCGAATGCGTGGTAAGTCAGCAACGAAAGGGTGGAGACTGGCCGAACGTCTGGTGTCCGATGGTGGAAGGGAGAGGGAGGAATTAAATTATGCAATTCCTGCGCACACTCTCCGAAATGCATCCTGTAGAAAACTTTGCGCCTGTGTTCGAGGCTGATAAAATTGGCTTTAACCAAATTCAGGTCACCACTAAGCCTCTTAGCACGCCTTTCCATTAAGTCCAAAGCTGCTAGGTGGCATTTTGCAGCTTCAGCCTATATATGGCAGCAATACTCCATGCACGACCGGACTTGCGCTTTATATAAAGTAAGCAGCTGTCCCGGCATGAAGTATCCTCGCACCTTTGCAAGGACTCCTAACGTCCTTGCTGCTGTTTTGGCCTTGGACTCAATGAACCGCCCGAAGTTCATATTTGAGAATATCTCAACCCCCAACAACTGAAGGCGGTCGGTGTATTCCAGTGATACATTTCGGAAAGAAGGAGCCAAGGTGAGCTGGCTCCTTTTTGCAGTGAAGAGACACGCTTGTAGTTTGGTGGAGGCATTGAATTTCACAAGATTGGCATCGCCCCATTCGGAGACTGCCTGTAGTGTGAGATTCACACTCTCTACCATAGCTTCACACCAGCACATAAGCCATAATAACCTGACCCTAAATGCGATGGTTCCAGACCCACGCTGACCCGCCACTATACCGACGAGCTGCCAGACATCTGCCTTGGGGAGATTGGGCTGGTCCTCGGCCAATTTAAAAATGAAAAAGTCCCTGGAGAAGATGGAGTTACAACAGAGCTCTTATAGGCTGGGAGTTAACCCTTGCTAAAAGAGTTCTGTCGACTTTCTAATTGCGTCTTACGAGATGGGATAACTCCAAAGGCGTGGATCAGAAGCATTATAGTCTTGTTTCACAAGAAAGGAGACAAGACTATGCTGAATAATTAGTATCGATCCATTTCGCTTCTGAGCCACGTCTATAAGTTGTACAAAGCTCGACGACTTTCAGCCTGCGGAACAGGCTGGGTTTCGAGGAGGATTTGGCACTATAGACCACATTCACACAGATGTCAAGAGAGTATAATCAGCCCCTGTGTCTTGCATTTGTGGACTATGAGAAAACCTTTGACTCCATCGAAACTTGGGCTGTTCTGGATTCTTAACAGCCGTGCCAAATTGACTGGCGTTACATCGAAGTGCTATGATGCCTTTACAACACCAGTACGATGTATCCGTCCAAGTACAGGGCAGTCAAACAAAGTCAATCCATTTGTATCGGGGAGTGAGACAGGGAGGTGTGACCCTTTTAAGACGCTAGACTGGAAAAAACGCAGCATCAACGTAAACTGTGAGTACATCTCACACTTACGCTTTGCTGATTACATCGTCATCATGGATGAATCGCTGCAAGAACTTCAGGACATGCTGAACAAACTGAATGAATCCTCCCGACATGTTGGTCTATGTATGAATCTGAACAAGACAAAAGTTATGTTCAAAAATCGTGTCATGCCAGTTCCAATTACCTACTGTTGATGGTGATATTCTCGAAATTGTCCAGGAATATACCTACCTCGGGCAGATATTGCAACTAGGTACGAATAACATCGAGAAGGAAGCCGATCGGAGGATTCAGTTAGGCTGGGCAGCATTTAGAAAGCTCCGTCGGGTTTTATCGTCGCCCATACCGCAAAGTCTGAAGACAAAAGTCTTCAACCAGTGCGTCCTGCCCATACTCACTTATGGTGCCGAAACGTGGACACTCAAACTATGGCTACTCCACAAGCTCAAAGTCGCTTAGCGAGCGATGGAAAGAGCTATGCTCGAAATTTCTCTGGTAGATAAAATTCGTAATGAAGAAATCCGCCGGAGTACTAAGATTACTGACATATGTTTGTAAACTGAAGTGGCTATAGGCTAGCCACGTCTGTCGCAGAAGTGACAACCGATGGAGTAGACGTATTATGGGACGCCCACTGACCAGATGGAGCAACTATCTGCGCAAGGTGGCTGGTAGAAACTGTATCCGAAGATCGGGCTAAGTGGCGCGCCTTGCTCAGTAGCAATGCCCAGCAGTGGACAATGATTAGGAAGATGCTGCTCCTAGTTGGTTTCTCTCTGTTGCCTCTTACGAAACCCACAGGACAATATGGGGTAGTAGTTATTCTTATATCGCCACTTCACGGTTAGTTATACTAAAATAACTACGACCTACTTTTGTCTCCAACACGGACGACCTAGTGTATTTATTCAACAGAACAATAATAGGAAACTCAATTTCCAGCCGTGGTTGGACAACAAGCACACGATATTCGGGCGAGTGGTGCGCGGAATGGAGGTGGTGCAAAACATCGGCAACGTGAAGACGAATCCCAAGACCGACAAGCCGTACGACGACGTGCGGATCATCTCCGTCACAGTCAAATGAAACACTGCTATAATGAACTGTACATATGGAATAAATTTTATAATCAGCTGTTTGATTTTGTTTTAGTAATTGCCTATGTTTACGTTAACTCTACACAGAGCGAAACTAGATTTTACTGATTTTATCGCGTATATTAACTTATTTTATATATATCCGACATTTCGCTGACTACCTTCAGTTTAAAATTATTAGTTTTTGGTCCGATCTACGCAAAACGAGCATAATATAGTATCTTGAAATCATGCAGGTGTATGCTTGCGTTGGGATTTAACTATAAGATCCCGAGCATATGGTTTCCAACCATCTTCTTTATTGATTTTGTTTTATTTATAAGGACTAGCCGAATGAGGCACTCCTGTTCACTCTAAAATTATTATAGTCAATATAGTAGGTGAAATTGCACTATTAATCGATGAAAACACTTTGAATATTATAATCTATACAATATTATGTATTATTGTAGAATAAGGTTAACAAACGACAACACATCCTAACTGATGGTGAGTGGATGTAATGGCCTTATACATCTACATCTATAATAGATTACGAATCAAAACGCAGATGCGTTGTCACCCTTGAAACTTAGACTCAGATGTAATGCCTCGTTACCAGTATAGAGGGTCCCTGGTTCTCTACACTCACCGTAAGATATACAGCAGCATTAACAGTTTCCATGTCCGCGAAACAGACACAATAGTTAAACAATCAAAATGTTCATATATGATTCATGGGACAGGGAAAGGGCTAAGCTGTTATTTAACGCCGGTATACTGTAGGAGAGTGGCCTTCCCTGGTCGAGCCGATGCATCTGTCGCCAAATCATTGCTTAAACAAAATGTTCAAATACTTTTAAATTCCATAGAGAATTGCCAAAAGATATCGTAAAATATTTTAAAACTATGTATGTTAAGAAAACGGCAGACTTATGGGGGATTTCCGTTAAAGTTATTGCATCTATAAAGTAAAATTAAAAAAAATTAGATCAGATATTAAGTTTATTTTTATATAAATAAATTGCTTCACAAAAATCAATTTGGTTTTAGAAGGAGTTGCTCGACTACTACTCGAATTTTAAATTTAAACGTCAATCATTTCAATGTGACGAAATCAATAAGACTATATCAAAATTAGTGAATTGTTTTAACGTTAATAATCTAAATTTAAACTGTAATAAATCTAAATATATTAAATTTACAAATACGAATGTTAAAATTCTGAATACAAATGTGTTTTAAATGGGGAAGAACTAAGCCCTGTTGAATCCTCTGTTTTTCTTGGCATCAATCGACGCTAAGCTTCAGTGGAGCCCCCATATATCCAAACTAGCAGACTAAGTTCTGCAGCCTATGCTGGTTAAAAAGGTTAGAGATCTCACTAGTGTCGAGACAGTTAGATTAGTTTATTTCAGTTATTTCCGTAGCATAATGTCAAATAATGGATTTTGCTATAGGGAAATGCGGCTGATTTAGAAACTATTTTTATTTTGCAGAACAGAGCCATAAGAGCTATTACATACGTACAATCACGCCTCTTTCCCGTAGGGGTAGACAGAGACCACTTCTTTCCACCTGCTACGATCCTTACATACTTGTTTCGCTTCGTCCACTTTCATTATTCCCTTCATACATGCTCTTCGGTTTAGGGTACTCTTGACCTGGCCTTAAGAGCTATTTACAACCTTAAACCTTTTAGAGAAAAATTTAAAGAAACAAATATATTAACTTTGGCCTCTCAGTATATTTACGAAAATTTAATGTATGTTCACAAAAACAAAGGTAGTTTTAGTAAAAAAGTCATATACACTCTGTAAACACTAGGAACAAACACAAGCTATTTTTACCAGTCTCTCGACCCCACAGAGTCAGTAATTAATTTTTTTTTATAGGATAGGGTTGCAAACGAGCACACAGTTCACCTGATGGTAAGTGCTTGCTGTGACCCATAGACATCTACATCTATCCTCGCTTGCGAAACAAAATGCAGATGCGTTGTTACCCGTGAGGACTAAGATGGAATGCCTCTTTTCTTTTATTAAACAAAAACTGTATAAAAAGGGTTATTATGATATAAATGAATACATGGTTGATAATAACCCCTGGGAATGAGGTGGTCGCTACCAAGCTGTTTCTAAAATAAATGTTGTAAATAGTTTTTAACCATTTATATTGTAAAATGTATAATTTAAAAAAAAGTCCCGCTGGATTTCTTGCTGGTTCTTCCCAGGACAGGGGTTTTTTTTCGAACCAGTGGTAAAGTAAAAAAATGACTTTTAGTAAGAATTACTTGTAATCAATATTGAATAAAAATTATTCTATACTATTTGTGTTACGACCACATTATAGCTGCACTGGGGCTCTACCACGTATATAAATATCTATAGTTGATGATAGATGCAAGTATCTAATGCCCCATCCACACGCTTGGCAAACAACGGCGAACAGCAAACACCAAACAGCAATCACGAACGTGTGGATGGTTGTTCGCCTGTTTGTTTGTTTGTTTGTATGTGATTGCCAGTGATCGGCGTTGGTGTCGGTTTTTATGCACCGATCAAAGGGTGTTCGACAAACGTGTTTGCGATGTATCCACACGTTTGGCGATCAGTCAGTAGTACGCGCGAGCTTGCGGCTTGCGGGCGGCGGAAGGAGTTACTAGTGGCTATTATTATTATACTCTACGTCAATGTTACCAATCCGAAATTTGTCGCGGAGGTAAATATGATTTCAGAAGTTGAGTTTCCTAACAATTCTACTTCGAAAAGTTAGTAGATCTACCACCTATACTTTTTAAAGTTTTCTAGAGACCTATTAGATTTATTTTATTAGACTATTGGGTAACAAATATTTCACATCTTTTTATAAGGAGCCCCATGTGAAAGCAGGATCATTGATCATTAACTCCTAAAATAAAATCCGAAAAAGTTATATAAGATTAGTATATCCTATGTATCGATAAGTTTAGTATATCTTGATTTAATAGTTTTTAGACTTTCGTAGTTACACAACAAGGAACCCTTATAGTTCGCCATGTCCGTCCGCGGTTTTGCGCAGACCCTAGGTGCTACAAATCTGTAATTTGGCACATTTATAAATATTAATCACGCCTAGAAAACAGTGAAATAATATCTTAAAAACATTTTTATTTTGGGTACTTCCCATACAAGTAAATGGAGGATGATTTTTTTTACGCGTCTATTCTATCATGTGGGGTATCGTTGGATAGGTCTTTCAAAAACATTGGGGGTGTTCAACATCTTTTCGATTCAGGGGTCCGTTTGTGAAATATTTAGCTTTGAAGTGGTATTTTTCATTAGAGTTATGTCCCCCCCCCCTCTCTTCCATCTTAACCGATGTTTATCGAAATGTGAAAAGTATACTCAATAGTAGTTTATATAATGCAGTTAAAAGGAAAACTATCACAGCTAAGTAGAATCAAGAAGTTAACGAGTAATAGTTGATCAACTTATAAAATACACTTGGATTAGTAAAAATTTCTTTACATTTTCATAGAAAAGACCTAAAACGAGCTGCATTAATACCTTTGTAATGTTATTGTAAGCTGTTAAAAATAAACATTTTATGAAGAAAACGGCGCATATGCATTACTACTATTAGTTTTGGCGAAGCGCTTTAAAATAGTATATCATTTTCATTCCATAAAAGATAACCAATTGTGCGTTTTGAAAATATTACTATTAAAGTGTATAAGGCGCTTCGAATAAAGAGATAATTAACAATTCATTTGAGATTCTATGGTAAATAAATTCTTCAATACAATAACCTTGAGAGCAATCCATATTGCCTTATTTTTAAATAAAAATAGGTCAACCCGAAATTAATCGCTGCCACAAGCTCGTCATCCGTCATGTTTGCCTATCCGGAATATAGGTACTAGCACGTTCGCCAAGCGTGTGGATGCCGTGTTTGTGTTGGGTGAATGTGGTCGGTGTTTGTTCGTGAATGGTGTTTGTGGCAAACACCAAGCGTGTGGAGGCGGCATAATAGACCACACAAGCGTGAATTTCTAATATATAATGTATTAAAGAGTATCGTATGCGAAAAGCGCCAAGTTTAGAAGCTATTAAAATATGTGAAAAAATATGTTAGGTATCTTTTTAATTATTTTAAGAACGTTTTTAAATATTTATTTCTAATTTGGTGTTTATACTGTCTGGGAAGTCGTAAAGTTAGATTTGATCTTCGTTAATGGTAGAAAAACCGCGCGAAAACGTAGCAACGCAAACGTAGTAAGTAAAATTTAAATTAGGTACTGCATTTTGATTCTTAATCGAGGATAAATGATGATGTGTATGGGCCACAACATCCCTTTGCCTTCAGGTGAACTGTGTGCTCGTTTGTCAGCCTTATTATATAAAACATTACTTGACAGGGAAAGTTCGGACGTATCGTAACGTAACGTAGGAATCCGTCTAGTAGCGGCGATCTGTTAACCTCATCAGTGGTCTTGTGATAGCGCCGCATCGATGAGTTTGTGCTCCACGGAATTTCATGTAAGAAAAGTGCTGCTAGGTTGACGCTCACGGTTCGCTAGACGACGTTATCAGAACGGCTCTTGTCTGTATAAATGTTTCTTCAGTTCTAAAGGATAACTTTGTTCCCTTGGGCTGCGGCTTCGGCGACTCGGAATGTAAACACCTGCACACTTAAAAAGAAGTATAACTTCGCCACTAGGTCCTTCAAAAGAGTTACTGCCAAGGCAAAGTCAGAGCACATAGGCAGAATTGGCAAGAAACTAGTTCGCCTTCCTTCGGGTACCCGTGCATTCTGGTCTCTCGCCAAGGCTGTCCAAGGGAATTTCTGTAAGCCATCACTACCATCTCTGCACAGGGAGGACGACTCACTGGCCCAAGCCGCAAAAGACAAAGCCGACCTTTTAGGCTCCCTTTTTGCGTCCAAATCGACTCTTGATGACGAGGGGACACACCGCCGACCATCCCGCGGTGTGAGTGCTCCGTGCCGGATGTGCTGTTCTCACAGCGC